CAGGGAATCAGACAAGGCAGATTTCAAGAGGCCATGCATATTAAGTGACAAAAGCTCTTTTGGACTCAGCGAAAGGGAAATGACGGAGAGTTTTGATAGTAAACGAGACTCTGAGTTGTTTGGTGCAGCAATAAAAAAAATAATTTTTATTTTTTAAAATATATCAAAATAATATATATATTTTTAACATTATTTATAATATCAGTAACTTAAAAAATAAAAAAATATAATAGTTAAGTTATATTGTTTGGACATCAAGTGGTTTTGCCAGTTATTTAGCGATAATTAATAAAAAAACAACAATTTAATTTAAACTTAATACATTTATTAATGTGAGTCGATTCAAATAAATAAGTATTTTTTAAATAATTATTTTATTTAATAAATAACAGGTCTGTGTAAACATTGTTAAGTTCAACTTGAAGCACAATTGAACCTGGCCGGATCATATATTTATATTGTAAAGATATAGTTGTACAATATCTAATTTTTTTTAATATAATGTAATATAAAATATATACACACATATAAATATATATACAACGAGGAGCTAGAGTTTTTTAAATAAAAAAGCAAATTACATACAAATACTATATTATATAATCATATATTAGAAATCAAATCGAAATAAATATATTAACTCAAAGGCAAAATTAATTTAAAATTATTTTTAAAATAAAAAAACTTTCAAAAAAATATTTTTTTAAAGAAAAAACCAACTTGCTTTAATTAAAATCAAACTTGTAAGCATGTGTTAATTCTTTTACAGACTCTATCAAAATACAAACTGACTAACAAAAAATAAAAATAAAAATAAAATATGAATTGACTAGCCATTTGTTCTGATTATTTTATAGAAAGATACAGGAAAGTTAACATCATAAAAAGAACCGATCTTAAGCTAATAATTTTAAAAATATTAATATTTACTCATCGATAATAATTTGAATGTTTATTTGTTAATAGCGTGAAAAAGTTTAATTTCATATTGTAACCAATTCAATTGAAAATTATATAGCTTTTAATTAATTTAAAGCAATCAAATCAATGTTTATTGATAAAATCTCGCTAGTGTCTATCACTTGCCTTTAATTGATTCAAAACATTATACATATCAAACCCTCTAAATTATTATAAATATTAATATTTTTAATAATTAATTATAAAATAATAAAATTAAAATTTGATAGTAAAATAAATATAAAATTTGAAGGAAATTTATCTAAAATAAAAAAGGATCACTTGTTTAATTGGACTTGAAAAGAAATTTGTACATGAAAGAGAGGCAGGTAACAGTAGCTAAAAAAAATAGAAAAGCTCTCGAACAGCGAGTGAAAGAAAAAGAAAGAGTTTAGAAAAATGAGAAATGAGTTGGAGTGAGTGCTGGAAACATAAACAATAGATATATATTATTTATTATATTAAAATACAAGTCAGCTATATTTCATTTGTGTCGATGCTCGTGCTAACCCCTTGAAAATAATAGCCATGTAGATTTTGTTTACTGTTTCAATTACCGCTAAAAAAATTATAAATCTTGATGGACATAGATTATAGAATAGAATTCTCATCACTTTTTAAAATTATTAAAATCTATTTTTTATTTTAATATTGAAAAAAAAAACCGTAACCAAAACGTGTTTCTCACACGTCCATGATGTTCCATTTTCTATTGATAAATGCTTTGAAATTTCCATCGCATGAGGTGATCATTTCTGGTCAAGTCCGAGCCAAGAAGAAACAAAGCTGTGAGCGGGGGTCATTACTGGACTAAAGGATACTTGGGCCTTTTTTGTATTCAGAACAGACTTGGGCCCGGTGCCCAATATCAAATCCAAGCAAGGCTGCACAGAATGGATCCTCGCTCTGGCGCAGGCTGGATTTCACTCGCAAAGTACAGGCGGATAAATTTAAATGAGATAATGAATAAATAAATAAATAAATGCAAGTTGGATTTGGATCAAGCTATCAGTCAGTGGGTCTCTCGCTCGCTCTCCCAGCCAGCTTTCCATCAAAACAGATAGATCCAGATCGCGCTTTAAAAGATCTCCACCCCTAACCTTTTCCATTCGATCTCTCAGGTAACTCTCTCCACAGCAATAAAAAAATGGTTGATTTGTAAATTGATGTAACATATGCGTTGTGTTAATGGAAAGAAAATGCCATTATAATTGGCGCGTTTCTAGTTTGATTGCAGGAAGGCCTCTTTTGTTTTAGGTCAAGTAACAGAAAATGTCGAGGAGGCCAGGGAATCCTGCCAGACGTTTGGCTGATGGAGGAAGTCTTCCTTTTGCTGGTTCGGTGCATTCTAAATCGCGTTCGTCGCCGTTACTATCCATTGGCCTTGTTGTCGTGGTAATTTTTATTGCTCTTTGTAATTTTCATTTTCTTTGGGGATGACAAGTTAGTAAGTAAAGTGGTTTAGGGTCTAGTGTGAAATCTGCTGATTGAATTTGTTCTTTTGTTGATTTCAGGGCGCGATTCTTCTTATTGGATACTGTTACAGTGGCTCAGGTTTTTGCTTTCTCTACCGACTTTGATCTGTTACATCTGATACTGATTTACTGCTGGATCTGATCTGGTTTAAGTAAACAAGAAGCATTAACTTTGTTTTTCCTGCTAACATGAATAGCATAGCATAGCATATTTTCTTACACTTAAAGAAGGGAAAAAAGCTGATATCGAAACAAAAGTAGAGGAAATAAAGCATTTTTGTAACGAATTTCATGTTTCAGTTTGGTTTCCTTTTTGTTGACTTTGAATTCAATTATTATAGGCAGATGAGTTTGAACATGAAAGTTTTATATGCTACAAGTCTTGTGAATTTATGATCTTTTTGTGTGACAGGTGGGCATATCACCAATAGAGAAGCTTTAAGCAAGACAGAAGGTAAATTTAAATGATATCTTTATAGTTTTCCTTCTTAGTTTGTACTTGTTTGGGTCTGTTACATTAACTGGAATATTGAAAGATGCAACACTGTTGAATTAGTTGGTATCAGGATTTTTCTTGAGTGTTCCATTTATTTTTCCTGAGTTTATATATGGTATTTATCATATCCAGAGAACTCTCAGAGAAGCTTTTTCATACTACTTTAACATGGACTCTTTTTTCTGTGTGATTCTTAAGTAAGCATTGGCTAAAATCTTCATTTCCTTGACTGCAATTTAATGTTATTAGCTGTTGTTGTTATGGACAACCTGTATTTCCTCATTGCCTTTCTTGTTGTGATTGAGAGTTACCTGTAGTTCTGAGCTTTTGATTAATCCTTAGTCAAGTGCAGTCCCCAGCTTTTGTCTTTGAACTAGACTTTGCATGTATCTCTTTGCTCTTAATGGTTCGTATAAGGGACTATGAAGATTACTAAGAAGAACATTTTGAGCATTTGTTCTCTCTTGTCTAGGAATGTTGCCAGTGTAAAAATTCCAGCAATCTGAGATTTGGGGGTATTCATATGCAGGTGGTGTTTCTTGCACACTAGAAGTCCAAAGAGCGATACCTATTCTGAAGAAGGCTTATGGGGACAGCATGCGTAAAGTACTGCATGTAGGCCCGGACACTTGTTCTGCAGTATCAAGCTTATTAAAAGAAGAGGATACTGAGGCCTGGGGTGTGGAGCCATATGACTTAGATGATGTGAGTGCCAGCTGCAAGAGTCTTGTGCGCAAAGGCCTTGTGCGTGTAGCTGATATCAAATTTCCTCTACCCTACCGGTCAAAATCATTCTCTCTTGTTATAGTGTCAGATGCATTGGATTACTTGTCTCCAAAATATCTCAACAAAACACTTCCAGAATTGGCAAGGGTGTCTGCTGATGGCCTAGTTGTATTTTCTGGTAACTGGACATGTTGCTTACTTTCTTTTAGGTTGTTAGTATTGCCGCATACATTCATGTAAATCAGATGCCAAGCTGAAAATTACTCTTATTCATCAACAGTGTTTTGAACAGTAGAAGGCTCAACTAGGGACTGCATTCACCTTAGAATATTATATCCTAAACTTGCCATGACTTGGTTACTTGTAAGGATCAAACACCATGAAGAGGGATAAAGTGCACCTTTAGTCATCTTCCTTTTTATCACCCAAGGCTCTTCCCTTGTCAAAGAAAGATGCTGGGGGTAAAGAGTCCAAACTGTGCTCTCATTATTTCATAATCATCAATGAGGAAAATGATATTCTTGTCAAACATAATTATTTGTATTGCCATGCTATAAACAGACATCTAAATAGTCTGTTTATATTGCTAATGAATCTTTTTTCATGTGATATTTAATGTCATTCAAATAGCTCTTCTGATCTGATTGTTGATCTCATTTATCCTTCTGTAGGTGCTCCAGGTCAGCAAAGAGTTAAAGTTGCAGAGTTGTCTAAGTTTGGTCGTCCGGTAAGTGGCCAATGTTATTCACTTTTTGGATTTTCTAGACATTCAGATCTCACTGTCTTTGCCAATACTATTCTTTTGCTTGAATGTTAGTCTGCTGCGTGTGCTTTCTATGCATTCAGGCTTTAAGTCAGTTGTTGAAAGGGTTTGCTTTCTCTCATTATGGGAGAAAGGTACAAGGAATATGGAAATTCTGATCATTTCTAGGATAGAATCTATATATGTCCATGTGAAATTTTATATAGCGCATCGCTTTCAGTCTCATTAATCTTTGTTGTATCATGCTGTGAATTTTTATGTTTATGATTAGAGAAACTAAGATTCTATTCTAAAAGAGATACCTAACTTGTTATTCTTGTGAAGGCCAAATTCCGGACCTCAACATGGTGGATAAGGTACTTTGTTCAGACTGGTTTACAAGAGAATGAATCTGCCTTAAAGAAGTTTGATCAGGCGTCATTGAAGAAGTCATATAAGCCAGCCTGCCAAGTTTTCCACCTCCAGTCATATGATTGAATGTTTTGGTGTCATAACATTTTCCATTGCTCTGTCTGCAAACTGGCAACAAACCATGCCAATGATAAGCTATTTTGTGGAATTACGTTCATGTTGGTTCTTATCTTGATACAGCAAATATCTTGATCATTATTTATTGAGGAAAGTAAGCATGTATGAATTCACTTCCACTATTCTTTATAAGATAAGTTTTTGCACTCAATCTGCTGCTATTGCTTGTATTTATGTTCTGTCGGTACATCCAGACATATTCTTTACTTTGACCGCAGAACATGTCTCAAGTTTCATTTTTGGTATGATAAAATCAGCAAGGAAAATCTTTACGTTTTAACGTCATTTTATTTGTCTTGTATTTTGTCATTTGTTTCTGGCATCTGAAATGTGTAGAAGGCAAGAACTTCGATGATGTTTCGGAGAGATACTACAGTGTACTCGGGTTTAGCTGCGAGTTCTATTACCTTGCTGTTTAAACGGGTTCTGGTTTCCTGAAGCTCTTCCCTTTGAAGCTGAAGAATTGCATGTTGCTAGCCGTCACGAATTTTGATGGTTTTTGTTTATATTACATCGCTTCTGTCAAGTTCCTTGCTGGATTTTAGATGTATGTCCAATAATTTTAGAATTGCATGTTTGTTATTGTATTTAAAACGTTTCTTGAGAATTACCAAAAACTTTCCAAATTCATACACATATGAATAATCGCCATTGTCATCTTTGGCAGAGCCGTGTGCAATCAGCTTTCATGCTTTGGTCTTTGTTCTCCATTTATAATCGAGTTCATCTTCCAGTTCCACTCGTATATTTAAGGTACATTCCAGTTTTTTAAAAAACATCTTTGATGTTTGTTATTGTATTTAAAACGTTTCTAAAAAAAATTAAATTTTTTTCTTTGAATCAATATATTTTTTATATTTATAAATTGTTTTAATACATTAATTTTAAAAATAATTTTTTGAAAAATAAAAAATATTATTAATATATTTTTTAAATAAAAAAACTTTAAAAAACACAATTCAGTACCAAATAAATTAATATCAGTCTAGTTTTCCCACCAAGATTCGGGAATCAAAGAAATTTACAAGACGTGTACTCAATCCAGAAATGTATAACACATGTATTGGGCTTACGATGCTCCCATCATATATATAATAATAATAATAATAATACAACTCTATATTCAAGTTCTTAAATGATCATAAGATAGTTATTATAGATTTATATTGTTGTTAATTTCAAAACTTATAAGATTAGTTATAGTATATACAAATTAGTTTGAATATCCACATTAATTTAAAGAAAAATAATAATAATACAACATAACCATCAACATAATCTTAACATGACAGGGAAGCTTAGTAGGTTTTTTCGGGTGTTGCAAAGTGTATTTTTGATAATTAAAAAAAAAAAACCAGTTTTATCAACCACCTTTTTAGTGGTAGAAAACCAAGCAAGTAAACGACGCCTTCGCTACTTTAATTGTTCTTTAAAGGGACAAATAATATATTGTCCGCCCCTCGGGTCAAAGAAAAAAAGGATCTCATGCGCGGGCTTGGACTTTTCTTTAAATTGGCCTAGTGTGACGGGCCACTTAGGCCCAAATGCTTAGCCTTTGTATATTAGATCCATTATGCGTCGCCCCCCGCGATTAAATCTCATGAAAATAAATAGCTTTAAAATATATTAAAAATATCAATTTTAAGAATAATTTTATTCTTTTATAAAACTATCAGTCATTGTTTTGTCCATTATGATTTTTATTTATTCTTTGTTAATTTTTGTTTTTTGGCAACTTTTTATTTTTATTGTCATCCTGTGATTTCAAGAAAAATAGACAAAAACATTCCTAGGTAATATTCTTATTTAATTATTTTAATATATTAATATTAAAAATAAAAATATTATTAATATATATTCTAATACAAAAAATTATATAAAAAATAATCACAACCATGCTTTTAAATAAATTCTGAAGCACAACTCACTCTTATCTCAAGCATCATAACATGTTATGTTATGGTAATATAGTGGGATTTAGTTTTTGAAAAAACAAAATAATATATTAAAAAAATAATTAAAAAAAAAACAAATACTAATTACACTAGTAAACTGGCTGCTAGAAAGAAACAATAATCAACCAGCTCAACTATAAAACGAAAAACCAGAAGTGGATGCTAACGTGCGCCAATTTCTACTTCCAGCATCCCTCCCCATCAACCCATGGCCCCAAAAGACCAGCAGCCCAAAAAACTCCCACTCTTTCCCTTGCTCTCTCTCCTCTGCTTCGCCTCCATCTTCCTCGCTCTCTCCCTCTCCAAAAGAGCCTCAATCTCTTACGAAACCATCCATTTCAGATCCACCCCGACTGTAACCTCCACTCCCTGCAATTACTCTCATGGTTCCTGGATCTACGACCCAAATTGGATACCCAACAAATATGACAGTACATGTAAAGAAATATTCAAAGGTTGGAATTGCATTGCTGGCAATAAATCAAATGCTAAAGACATCATTAAGTGGCGATGGCAGCCTAACGGGTGTGATCTCCCTCCCTTCGACCCGGTCCGGTTCTTGCAGACCTTTAGAGACACCAGCATCGGTACTCTCTCTCTAAATTAATCATTATGTATGTATTTCTTGTGCTTTCTTTGGAGCTAATGAATGGTATAACAGTGCAGGATTTGTTGGGGACTCGTTGAATAGGAATATGTTTGTTTCTCTCTTTTGCTCACTAAAAAGGGTGTCAAGTGATGTGAAAAAGTGGAGACCAGTTGGGGCTGATCGTGGCTTTACATTTCTTCTCTATAATCTTACCATTGCTTATCATCGAACTAATCTTTTGGTGCGATATGGTAGGTAAGCTCTGCTTGCTATGCCAATCTTATCTTCTTGCATGTTTCTTAGCATTTTGGTAAAAAATGGAGTTCTTGGTTATGGTACTTCAAGATTTGAAACTACATAGGCATGTTCTGCTTTTGTTTGTTTAGGTGGTCAGCTAATGCTAATGGGGGTGAGTTGGAATCTCTTGGATATAAAGAGGGTTATAGAGTTGATGTTGATATTCCAGAAGGCACATGGGCGGATGCTCCGAGCTTCCATGATGTTCTAATCTTCAACACAGGACACTGGTAATTTAAGTTACTTAAATTTTTCTGAACAATGTAGGATGTGAAATCTGGTCTATATTCGTTTTATATATAATTGACTGTAGCTACTAGATTTTCTTTTCCGTGCTGATCCTGCATCTTATTTGGTTGTTTTTATTATGTGATTGACTGTTTATATGGCTCTTTGCTTCTTGTGAATAGGTGGTGGGCTCCCTCAAAGTTTGATCCTGTGAAATCCCCCATGCTTTTCTTTGAAAAGAACCGGCCTCTGATCCCTCCAGTACTTCCTGCTGTTGGCCTGGACAAGGTTTTGAAACACGTGGTACAGAGTCCATCTGCTTTTAGTTTCATCTCATTTTTAAATTGCGGTGAAAAATCCATGAATGTGCCACATGATATGGTTGTGTGACCTCTCACTGCTATTTCAGTGAGTGGTGTCCTTGGAAATCTGATATATAAAGAAATCCCAATCTCCAGAATGTATATTGGTCATTCGTACTTATTTATCTGAACTTTAGTTAGCTTAGTACTCTTTAGCATGATGTTAGATATAATTCCAAAATTATGCTCCGCTCAGAGTTCTGTTAGCGTAGCACTTTGTAAGCTACTGACTTATGGATATGCCAACACAGTTATAAATCAAAAATAGACTAATGACAATTGATTCTGACTGGAAAATGATAAACTATTTATCTACTAGACTCTGCTATTTGTCTGCTTGATGCATGCTTCCACACTTCATGTTCTGCAGATATTAGTGATATTGTTTCAGTGCTTAGGCTACATAATTGTTGTGGTTGTTTCCCTCTCTTGCGCCCTTGCATCTGTAGTGCATGCAGGATTCATTCTGCTACTCTTTATTTAATTGAAATGGGCATTTTTAATTTCTCATGTCCTATGTTTTCACTGTAGATTCTCTTTGTTGAGAGACAAATGCGTCCGGGTGGAATCAAGTTCTTTCGTACACAATCACCTAGACATTTTGAAGGAGGTGATTGGGATCAAGGTGGTTCTTGCCCACGACTACAGCCTTTGTCACCTGAAAAAGTGAGTCACATCCGAACTATGAGTTTGGACTTGATAGTTTGTTGACGTGATGGCAATTTGATATTACTATGTTGTGAAGCATAATCAGTGCCAAACCTTGCATGAGCTTTTCAATTGCTTCATTTTTGTTCTACAACAGTATACAAAGGTAAAAGCTTCTTCCTTTCTCTTTCAGGTTGAAGAACTCTTCTCTCTAAAGAATAATGGGACAAATGTTGAATCCCGTCTGGTTAATCAGCACCTGTTCAAGGCTCTCAAGGGGTCTACATTCCATATTTTGGACATAACTCACATGAGTGAGTTCAGAGCAGATGCTCATCCAGCAACAGCAGGTCGAAAGAAACACGATGACTGCATGCACTGGTGCTTGCCAGGCATTACGGATACTTGGAATGACTTATTCATAATGCATCTAAACAGTATTAAGGCTAGAAACTGATGTATCCACTAGTTGATATCCTCTGCAAATTGAGTTCCCATTTGGTTTCCTGGAATTTGTTAGGTTTGATCTGCTTGGTCTGATGCTTATTCATTTACATGATATTGATACCAAGATCTAGGATTTTCTAATACAGAATTTTAGAAGTTAAAAGCAAAACACACACACACGAGAATGTGCTTCTAGCTATGTTTTGGAAACCTATGATTTTCATTATGGAACTGGAAATTCAAGAGCTCCCAGAAATATTATTGCAGTCTTGATTCTGGTCGCCATTTCTTTTGTAAAGATTTTGGAGACTAAAAGAAATTAACTATGGTCGCACTTAAGTCGCTTGTTCCAGCACATGCAATTGCTTGCTACACACGAAACAGAAAAAGAAAAGGCTTATTCAATCTCCACGACCCATCCCATAGTGTCCTCAATGCGACCAGTTTGAATTCCTGTCAATGTTGTACATAGTTTCTCAGATACATTACCCTCGCCTGTTTTATATTCAACCCTGCATTGGCATAAACAGTGATGGCATGTTAAAAGCTGCAAGGCCAGAGAGGAGAAAGAACAAGAAACATTTTTTCACTTTTCAAATCATACAGTATGCATTTCAACTTGTACCTGTGTCCCTGATAGGTTACACTGCCAACGGGTTTAATTGCTATTGCAGTTCCTGTGCAGAAAGCTTCATCAGCATTTATCAACTCCTCCAGTGGAATAGCACGTTCCTCAATCTGATCAAAGGTCGGTAGAGCATGCTCAATTTAGAGGGAAAACCAAATTAAACTTTAGGAATGCTGTACTCCTTTGCGCGTAATTCAGTTCTCAGCTCTTGCTACCAAACACTTGTGCATATCCAGAAAAGGATTAAAAATGATAGGAAAGAAGGTCGATTATGAACTCTCAGTTTACAAATACGAGATCGACTGTTTTTTCTTTCATCAGAATTTACTTACTTGATATCCGAGCCAGGAAGCAACTTCAATGATGGTTTTTCTTGTGATTCCAGGCAAAATAGTTCCCGCTATTGGAGGAGTTGAGATGACATTTCCCTGCAAAAGAAATACAATGCTACATTAATATATGCTGTTACCCACCGAATCAAAAATAAACTAACTGCAAATATAAGTTATGAACTTGAAGCTGGAACATGAAAAAGTGATCTCGCCTTCATCGAAAGACTGATTCTCATTAGTCTTACCTTCACAACAAAGATATTACATGCAGTAGCCTCCTCTATATTTTTGCCGGTGGCTGCATCAAGGAATATAGCATCGGTGAAGCCTTTGGCCTTTGCTTGAGTGATTGCCTTGTAAATCTACAGTAGAAGTGAAAAGGTAAACAAGATTTTACCCGTTATTTGTTAAGACGGTAAGCATATGTAGATAGCTAACATAACGCCGAATGCATTGCGTATCGCATGAGAAGTTAAATTTATGACCGAATTGTGTTCCTAGTGAAAATAGACAAAGTAATGCTTACAGGCGAATAGTTAGTGATAGATTTAATGCCACCAGTTCCTCCAGGAATTGCTCGATAGACCTTATCTTCAACAGAGAAGTGCATGGGACCCTGCATTTATGCAAAATTAACACTTTATAACAACCCCACTTTGCATCACTAAATGAAGTGCATTTCTTTCCTTCCCCAGTACTTGACGAAGTTCTGCAACTATCCACTAAACTCACATTGAAATAGTTGCCAACTGGAGAAGCATATGCTAGGAAGGTGTATTCTGGAGATGGCGCCACACCTAGAATTGGCCCTGTTCCCAGGAGCAAGGGCCTAATATAGAGCGATCCTCTTCCTGGAGGAGGTACCTATACCCAATTCAAAACACATTTTTAAATGATAATTACAAGATAACTAGTAAGATATTCATAAATGTGAACGAAACTTGAGGCTAATGGGATAAGTTAGGGCTGTGAATTTGAATACCCATCTTTTATTGGCCAAAGCAGTTTGCTTTATTGAACTAACAAATTGCTCAGCAGTTGGTGATGGCATGCACATTCTTTCCGCCCCCATTTGCATGCGTAGAGCATTTTGTTCTGGCCGGAAGAGTCGAATACGGTTATCATCACCTCTATATGCCTTTAAGCCTTCAATTAACCCCTAGTAACAAGACCATTCATGTAATTGTCACTCAAATGGTCATGAGAAAAGGATCTGTTAATTAATCACCTATTTCTGCTATTAATTTAGCAGTGCCATTGCTCACCTGTATGAGTTCTGTACATTAGTGCAGTTTCATATAGCCACTTACTTGTCCATAATTTAGAACTCCAGAGGAAGGGCTCAGCTCGACGTTTCCATAGCGAGTTAGATGGCCTTGTGAAAATGCACTCTCCCCACTAGAGCATTTCATCACGTACATGTAATCAGTTGGAATGAAACTAAATTTAAGCTCATCCCAGTTGCAAAGGTCATGCTCTTCTTGATCACCATTGATACTGTTATCAAAATGAAAAAAATAAATAAAAGATTAAAATCCCATCAAGTTGCACTGCATTAAAGGCTTCTACAAAGAGAACATTTTAAACTCTTGGGATGGAAGTGACCCCTCAAGATGGTGCCCGTTTAGCTAAATAACGTAATTTACCTGGCATCACTAGCTGTTTGCACGCCTATTGCATTCCTCGAGCAATATTGTAGCTGTTGACAAAAGATAAGGTAAAACCCAGTTATGTTTGCGTTAATATTGTGTTCATCAAATATCTCACTGGGTAACCTTTGGTTTAATTCAGTTGTTATTCCTCCTATCAATAAGAAGAGATCCCAAATTTAAACCCTGGATCAAGAATTTAAGATACGGAACAAAGATTAACGATACCCTATCAATTAGTTCATTTCTTATCTCATGAATCTATTTTTTAGTTATTTGCAGATACTAATCTAATGATAAATCAACAGGAATTTATCCATGAAATTTTAAGAGCTGAAGAAAATAAACTCGTTTGACGTTGAACAGATCAATGGCTTTTGTTAGAAGGTGAATGGGAAATGTCTTCACACGCAATTTAGAATGATCGTCTACAAATAAAATCGAAAGAAAGGAACACAGGGGAGATTCTCTCTCTCCTCTCACTGGCTTGTTTTCTTTCAGGGAAAAAAAAAAAAACACTAATTGACACCCTCTCAATATCCAGCTGCTGCCACTTCTTGAATGCATGCAGGTATGATGTATAGCCACTCCATTACCAGTTCTCAGCTCCACCTCCACTGTCTCACCAACATCTTATTTTTTAACTTGTTCAATACCCATTTTTACTCACGACAATCAAATCCTAATGGGTACAAATGAATAACTTGCTATTCATGAAAAAAAAAAAAAGAAAGAAAAGGAGAGAAAAACAAGTAAAGCACTTGGCCTCTTCGAATGGAAGTCTCTTGCTCATTTTTTCCTCTCGGTTTGTTCATCTTCTGAGTGAATTTAGGAAATAAAAGATGTTAAGATTATTATTATTATTATTATTAAATCAACATTTGATATTTTTTTCAACCATATTTCGAGACGACAATTCTTTTATGGGAGGACTGAGAAAACCGTATGAAATTGTAGCCTGAGTGCAAGCTGGAGAAAGAGAGTATGGGCGGTGATGAACTGATATTGCGTGAGCGTTGCAGATTTTTTTGGCGACGGACAAAGAGGGTAAATTATAAAATAGTCCTCCTAGTCTCGAGAAACAAATTAATTTGTTCTATTTGTTTTAAGAATTAATTACATAATCCTTTCACCGGCATCGACCACTCTTAATTTAACATTATTTTATCTCGACAATTTCCTTTTATTCTCATCAATCTTTTCATAATTCGATTTATTATTTTTATTTTTCCTATTTTCTGAATTAAAAAACAAAATTAAAAAAAAAACATAAAATGAATGAAGAGGGTTAAAGAATTGGTTTTTTAAAATAAAAAACAATCAATTCATTTCTAAAAAATAAAGTGACTAATTTATAATTTGGTGATGAGATACCGAGAATCTGAAGTAAACCGAGAGGTGCAAAATTGAGATTCAAAGCAAGAAGGGATGTGGCGGCGCTTCTAACTTAATATTGCGTGGCTGCAAGCCTTAAGCTCCTGGATTTAGAGTCTTCCAGCGATAGGTTGAACATCCTCCTATAAAGATGTAAGAAAGAAAAAGAAATATTTGACGCACCTTGGTAGCTAAGACACCTCTTCTAAGTGTTCGATTAATCCACTCGAGGCTGCAGATCTTTCCTCTAGACATTGTATGCAGAGCTGAGCTTCGAGAATACAGCTAGTTCACTGGCAATCCTGCGCTAAAAGTTGAATATTACCGTGAGTTCATGGGCTGACTGACTCTGATTGGAAACAAAACCACGGCCACAGACGCCTCTCTCTCTCTCTCTCTCTCCCCCCAACAGGAGCACTGATGAATTTGCAATTCAAGACAGGACTCCAGCCTTAAAAGTTAGGCAGTTTTAGGCGTGCTTATTTGCCACGTGCTGTCTATATCTGCTTCCACAATCGGTATCTGCCCCACCGGTGGTTGTTTATGTATAGTTACTAATCACAACATCTTTTTATTTTATTTTCTTGATCGTGTATTTAACAACAAATAGCATTCCCTAACAGCCAGGGTAGATTATTGAATAAGTAGATTCTTCATAGAATTTCAATACAGAACCTAATCTGATCTAATCTGAAAATCTATACCACAATCTTTCTCCAGATATTGACGAGAATATATGGTGGTTCTCTCATTGAGACTCTGTCGACGTTACTTTAGCCACAAGAAATCAATGACGACAACCATTGAAGTGGAAAACGAAGCATAAAAGAAAGAGATTGACTGAAGTAGCACTTGACTATTTGTAATCACAAAGGATATTTCTGCTGATGAAGGATTGTTTTTTTTAGATTATCCTAAATGTATATTGAGGGTAAGTCTTTAATATTGTTCGAGTCCCTTTTAAATTTTAGTGGTTATTTTTTAAATTATTTTTAGTTTATAAATATATTAAAATCAAAATTTCTTGAAATGATCCCAAACACACACCAAGCAAGTCAATCACAAAGAATCTTAAAGATTACCTTGCTAGAATATTTCACAAGATGATATCTCTCTAAGATCGATATCCCAAAGATCATGAAGAAATTGGAATATACCAGGATCTTGAATATCATGAAAATAAATTAGTTCGGATTTGAATATTAAAATTTCTAATACAGTTTTGAATTCAACCTCCATCGCTATATACAGATCAATTAATACAGCTTTGCCAAGTTTCAATATTAGAACCGGCTCCTCTGTTTTTCAGTCTTGACTTTTCCCTCTTGAATCAGCCTTGACAACTCACAATTCCAGTAAACTCTTGTTTCTGTTCGTTGGCATGTGAGCTGTGTTTCTTTCCTTTTCTGAAGAGGCAGCAATCAATGGCGTTCGTGGTTTAGCCTTGTAGGGAGAAACAGTTTTGCAGGAATTAAAATCCTTTCTCGATAGGTATTTAGCCCATCATTTTTAGCATCCTAGTACAACAAACTTTAACCAAAAAGAGTAAAGGCACAACAGACTAACAACTTAGCTGGGTTCGGATCCAAAAGAATCCTACTCTTCGCAGCAGACATGTGCAGGAGCCATGTAAAGATGGTGCGATGATCGATGTTACAAAATCTGATATACTCAATATTTGGTGTTTTTCCTATCACATGCAAAACAATCCCTTTTCTTGGGGTTAAAAACCTTTAATCAAGAATAAATTAATATTCTTTATATATTATTAATGAAATAAAAATATAATACATATCGCAAGTACTTTTTATATATCTGTAAATACAAGAAGATAATTATCCTTAAAATAAATAGTTTATGTTAAAAGTTGAATAAACAGAGTTTTATCATCTTAATATCAGTCTATAACATTCCGTAGATCAATTGAGCTTTACGGGTGGCTTCACTGAGGAATCATGAATATGACAACCTGTTAGGATCATATTTATTAACTGTTAGAAAGAGCAAATCCCTTTCATAGCACTGTCACACTCCACATAAAATATCTTTTAGTTGGCAGTCCAATTAATCCTTATTGTGTTGCCATTATGAACTACAACCTATCGTTTAGCCATTAATTTATTTACTCTATCACTCTTTTTTTTTTTTATTATTATTATAAAAGAAAGGCTTTAGACTGGAGACTTTTGACAGGAAAAGAGACACTATATATTTTATTGTGTGTGGTTCTATATCATCTATCATATTAATTAGTAAATTGTGTGTGGTTTCTATATCATCTATCATATTAATTAGTAAGTTATCTTTTTAAATTAAATAGGTTTGTCATTATAGATGATAGTAATATGGAAATTTTTGTTACTTTTTATTTTGAATAATTGGATCGAAAATTAGTTGTGTGAAAGCTGACTGTTTTTTAAAAAACGAGGTTATCAGTGTTGTGAGTTTTTTTTCAAATACTTCTCTCTTTAATCTTGTTGTATTCTAAGAATAAATTGTTCTGAATGATATGTATATTGTAGCTTTTAGTTAAATTTGATGAAAAACAATTGTGAACCCATTATTTGTTAATAGTGTCTATACATGTTACTTTTTATTTTAAATAATTGGATCGAAAATTAGTTGTGTGAAAGCTGACTGTTTTTTAAAAAACGAGGTTATCAGTGTTGTGAGTTTTTTTTCAAATACTTCTCTCTTTAATCTTGTTGTATTCTAAGAATAAATTGTTCTGAATGATATGTATATTGTAGCTTTTAGTTAAATTTGATGAAAAACAATTGTGAACCTATTATTTGTTAATAGTGGAAGTTTTTAGATGGACTACGGTCCCGTGGTTTTTTTCGCATCAGGTTTACCCCGTAAAACTCATGGTGTTGATTTTTGTGATTGTTGTATTATATTTGTTAATTGTTTGATTCTGATTTTGATTACACAAAGAAGGAAAAGAATTGAAACTTGTGAATTGTGAATTGATCCGGATAAATTGATGTCCGGTTATTTGTTTCTAGTTTTCTCAACAAAGTGGTATCAAAGCATTGGTTGTGTAATTGAATTTTTTATGCAGTTAAAATGGATAAGAAAGATTCGAGTATGATAAAGCTCACTTCCTCTAATTATTTTCCATGAAAAACAATGATGGATAATCACTTATATTGCAATGATCTGGCTTTGGAATAATCACTTATATTATAATGATCTGGCTTTGCCACTCGAGTGTAAAAGAATTAAACCTGATGAGATGGACGAGGTAAAATGTAATGAGTTTAATAGAAAAACAACTGTTTATATTAGAAAATGAGTATCTTATAGGTCTATTAATTATATTTCTCAAGAACATGACTGCTATATAATTTGAAAAATGTTAGAAAAAACCTTTGCTAAAGAGAGCGCACAAAATAAGATTTTTGTAATTAAAAACCTTGTAAATTTGAAGTACAAAGATGATGAAAATATTTCAATGTATATAAATAAATTGCTATGGTTCCTAAATAAATATTTCAATGCATATAAATAAATTGCTATGGTTCCTAAATCAGTTGTTATTAATAAATTTTGAGTTAGTTGATGAGATGCAAACACTAATTCTATTGAGTTTATTGGTGGATAGTTGGGAAATTTTGATAGTATCACTTAACAATTTTACTCTAAATAAAAAAATTACTTTAAAGAAAGTGAATAATGGTATCTTTAAAGAAGAGAAGATGAGGAAATTGACAAATATTTATAAGTCTCATGTCAAGCAAGATAGAGAATCTAGTAATAGAAAAGACAAGCAAGATAGAGAATCTAGTAATACAAAAGACAAATGAAAGCTAAGAGAAAAATTTGAAAGTATAAATTATAAGTGTTATTATTGTAACAAGTTTGGACATATTCAAAAAAATTATAAAAAATATAAAAAAATAAAAATAAAAATGAAGACAAAAATAAAAAAATGATACAGCTGTTAGGACCATATATAAATACAAGGAGATAATTATCAATGAATAGTTTATATTGAAATTCTTAAGATTGAATAAACAGAGTTTTATCACCTTAATATCAGTTTATAATATTCCGTAGATCAATCGAGCTTTACGCGTAGCTACACTGAGGAATCATGAATCTGACAACTTGTTAGGAACTTATTTATTGACTGCTAGAAAAAGCAAATCCCTTTCAAAACACTGCGACACTCTACATAAAATATCTGTTAGTTGACAGTCCAGTTAATCCTTATTGGGTTGCCATTATGCTCGACAAGCTATCGGTTAGCCATTAATTTATTTACTCCATTACTTTTTTTATATATATATAAAGAAAAGACTTTAGACTCAGACCTTCTGACAGGACAGGAGACACTGATACCTGACCCATGACACTGTCATGCGGTAGGTATTTATAAAATCATTGGTCCCAGTTCCCATATTGGTCCCAGTCCCATATTGATTAGAAAGAAGATTTCTCTTCTAAATTCCAGCGAATACCCATTTCCGTTACTTCAAGAGTACTCCCTCAAAATATTATTATGACTGGGGAAATTGAAAGAAACTGCTGGTTATACATTTCCAGTCATTACGCTGACCTTGTTTCTATGAATTTTGCTTAAGTTTAACGATAGGATTGAACATCAAGAAAGTTGCCCATCTTTATTGCTCTTTCAAGTTTAATAATTGATGAACCATACAAAAAGGGATATAGTCCTGAATTATATTATTATAATTGAAGAAACTACAGTCATTTGGACTCGGGCTTTGTTTAACTACGCTCGTGTTCACCATCCATATGTAAAGATAGCAGATTTTTCTGTGTTTTTCGTATCTTCATGTGAACTAGCAGATTAACTGATAGGCAATGAACAGATCCTTCGAGATTTGTATTTGCATGTCCGGCCAATTAATTGCTACAAACCAATTCATCAATTGATGCAGAGAAGGATTCTCTGGGGTTTTGAGAAGCTCAATTAAGGTGGACAGTCCATCCCTTCTTGTCCTCAACAAGTCCAGTTTGAATTCCTGTAAGGGCTGTTCGCAGTTTGTGACACACTGTGTTCTCTCCTGTTTTATATTCCACCCTGCATTATATACAAATCCATTAGCTCCGCTATATATGATCCGCCCAAAACCAAGAAGTGTTTGAAGTTTTCTTCACCTTTGTTCCTTGTAGGTTATGCTGGCAACAGAAGTGACTACAACTGCAGTTCCTGTGCAAAATACTTCATCCGCAGCAAGCACATCCTCAACTGGAATACGTCCTTCTTCGACCTGATCATCGAGAATATTGCCAAAATTGTCTCACTATTTGGTATAGGAAATTCAGAAGTTAAGATCACGTTTCTCTTTGTTGTATTTCAGAAGACATTTTGAACTGTTATTCTGACACACACGTGGCTTATTCAAGTGGTGGAAGGATGATTCTTAATTACCTCATAACCACAATCTTGAGCAATCTCCAAGATGCTTTTTCTAGTAATTCCAGGCAAAATTGTCCCGAGTATGGCGGGGGTTGAAATGACATTACCCTACAACGAAGAAGCTTTGCGAGTGTGATTTAATTTGGGGAGAAGTAATTGATCTTGGGAACGAAGATATAGAACAAGAAGCCTCTTCTGCCTGTTATTAGAAGTGGAAATATTAAGTGAAAAAATGCTATTCTGTAATACCTTCAAGATGAAAACATTACACGAAGAAGCCTCTTCAATATGCTTTCCAGTTTCTTCATCCAAGAACAGGACATCATCAAACCCTGCAGCCTTCGCTCGCTTCACTGATTCAAAAACCTATAGCAAATCGGATAAAAAAACAATTCAATCAATGAAATACTTCAATATTTACCGCTGCAACTTCATAAACAGTATCAAAATCAAACTAGTGGCAAACTATGCTTACCGGAGCATAGTTTGTAATGCTTTTGATACCTCCAGTTCCACCGGGGGAAGCTCGATGAAGTTTGGTCTCGATAGACAAGTTAAAGGCGTCGATCCCACTCTGCAATATCACTTCATGTCCTGTTTAACCCATACTTGCCTTGATCGGACTGGATCTATTTTTCTTAAGAACATCCTAAGCAATACAAGAAATCACCCACCTTGTAAGAGTTGCCGATAGGAGATGCAAAGATAAGGAATGTGCATTCAGGAGCTGGTCCAATACCCAAAACAGCTCCACTTCCCATTAGCAAAGGCCTGAGGTACAATGTTCCCGTCCCATGGGGAGGCACCTGTTCCCACTCTAAAGAATTCATACGCAGGAAATTCTCTGCTGCACCTTTTTATAAATATTAGGTTTCTGAAACTTTTGCGCCTTTATTATTTAAATATTTTATAATACGTTTTTTTTTTAAATCTAATAGATTATTTTGAATTTTTTATTAGAAAATATTTTTAGTATTTATTAAATTAGAATATTTAAATTTTAAAATTTGAATGGTTCCATATATAGTTTGATAATTTATAAGATTGTTTGGCTTTTGAAACATAAAATTTTGATTACATTGAAATAAAAACTATATTTATTTGTTTGCATGCATATGTACAAATTGCTTATAATTAGATCTATTAAAAATAATAGTCATTAAAAGATTGCACCGATTTATTTGTTTGGCTTTTAATTAAATATAGTTTTATCATGAGACGGAAATTATGAAAAGAAAGAGATAAAACAGAGGGTAAAAATAATAATACCCAACGCTCGTTTGCAAGGGCAGTTTTCTTCACAGCATCAATAAATTGCTCGGTCGTCGGTGCTTGCATCAACAGTCTCTCTGCTCCCATTTGCATGCGTCGAGCATTTTCTTCTGGCCTAAAGATCATGATTCTGTCATCTTCTCTCCTGTATACTTTCATCCCTTCAAACAATCCCTGTAACCGAGAAAATACGTTTGTCATTAATTATCAGTGCCAGTTGAATTCCTATCTCAACGGCACTGCCAACATGATTTAACGCTAAGAGTGCAAGTTCATCAAAATCAAGTTTTCCACATATTTACAATTTATGAACGACCAAAAGAGATGTTCATAACGTAAATCAAAACTGATCTTACAGTAGTCAATAGAGAATTATGGAATGTTGATGAGTTGGTGATTACCTGTCCATAGTTTAACACTGAAGAGGATGGGCTTATCTCAAGATTTCCATAGGGAACAAGGTGTCCTTCTGAATATTTGTCTCCAACAGGGCATTTCATTATGAACATGAAATCCGAGGGAGTTAGACCAAAACCAACATTATCCCAGTTGATATCTTCACCACCAGATTTCACTTTCTCATCAGTAGTCACTTTGTGATCATCAGTACTGTTTTCATAACAAAATAATCAATCAACATTAAACGAGTGGAAGAGAAGTCAATGTGGCAATTTACATGTATATTCTTTGCGAGAAAAATGTTTTAGATCATGGAGGCTCGAAAGAATCTACCATGGGTAAGCCGATAAAATTATAATACGATATTGAATGATCCATTGAAGACTAAATAACATAAACTTTTTCATGATTTGAAAATTTTCGTATCATTTAATTGAATTAAAACCGCGAGGGAGCATGTTTTGTAATTCAAAAAAACCCTACTAAAATCTTGTTTGTAACAGTAAGGTAAGTTTAACTCATGAGGTCCATACAAATTGTTCTATTCATGATAAATAAAGAAGAAGACATTAAAAAAACTTCTCTAGGGAAGAAGAATGATAGTGGAAGAGGCTTATCTGGGACCATCATCAATTGGCCAAGCCCTTGAGGTTTTAGCATGTGCAAAATTGATTTTATTATATATATAATAAAAAAGGGCAAAAAAAAAAAAAGTACTGCCAGTACCTGCTAACAGGTGGAGGTGGCGGCGGTGTAGATTTCGACTCTGGAAGCAATAGCCCAACGACTTGGCGGAACCTTGACAGCACTTTTTTTGGGCCTGAGGTTGATGAAGCCATTGGTGCCTGAAGAACAAGCTCTGCAACCAAGTTGCACAAACTGCTAAAATATAGCTACAAACTCATTTCACACGTCCAAGTTCAACCCTTTTTTACATACAGAGGTAATCGCACAGTGACACAAATTCAACCCTTTTTCACATACAGAGGCAATCACATAATGGCACAAATCCTTATTGCATGAGGAAACACTGTTTAGAAAATTGCAAGCTAAATATAGATCTCTAAACAAACAGGAATAGAATGCACCAATGAAATTAACATTTTTAGAAAATTAATCATTGGCAGGAGCTCAAGTCAACAAGCCATTTCTACGTGGAAAAGGAGAAGGGAGTAAAAGAAACAATGCCCCGAGCCCTCTACAATATGCCCTGTAAGACATTGTAATAGAACAGCTCGTTTTTCTTTTTTACTCTTTTGTGATTTCACATAAATAAGAAAAGATTATGTAATATCAACATTATCATTATGTAACGTAATTCTCAGAAGTCTTCCTTAACTTTATCCAAGCACACAACGTCCTCTTTATGATTAAGGTTTTCAAAGACCCTGCGCAAGTAATTTAGAATAGGATCCATGTTTTTTTTTTTTGAGAAGACAATAATGCATCGTAATTTCTTCAATTAATGCGTTGGGAAAATCTCATGCACAAAATGTGTGAAGTCATGATTTTTGTTCTTTCTTAATGCAAGAATACGGTAGAACATAAATGAAGTGATAAAAAGGAATGCAAAGACTTGGAGAAGTTAAGAATTGCAGTAGCTATAAACCATAGAGACATGAACGAGAAGGTGGCACACCTTAAGGGAGGAAGGAAGGAAGAGGAGAGAAACTGTAGAAACTCCTAGTTTGTCTCAAACTGCTGGTCAATCAAAAATATATACAAAGAGAGGGAGGAGAGAGAAAAAAGGCAGGCTTTAAATGGCTTCACAAGACCTAGCAAACAGAGATCATTCTGGGTAATTATGTCCACCTATGACCTATATATGGTGGTGCCGCATTAAGTTGTGGCATTTCTATTGACTAGCTAGCTGTGCTACCAAAATGTTCAGCCCATGCTGGTCGTCATTTCTTGCCTTCCCACCATTAGTGGTGGTTTCCCACTTTTTGCCCGTTATAATCTCTCCCTTCCAAAGAAAAGAAAAGGGAAGTATGGTTAAGCAATGAAAACAGAGAAGAACGTGTTTGACTTAACCAGGTTCCTCTTTGTTATCAACCACAAAGTTGTTATTAGCTTTTCCCATTGAAAGCGGGTTAATTTTGACCTAGCAAAGGAGAGCTTCACGAGTGATCCGGAGGCTATTCCGAGCAGCAGTTAAACTATCATTTCGTCATTTCTTTTGGAAAAAAAAATTATTTTAGTTTATTTATGTGTTTTTTTATGATTTTAATGTGCCAGAACACTGTCCTAAGCAACTGGAATTTAACGCAGAGTGTCATCCAGCCAAGTGAGTGGGCTCTGTTTCATGAATCCTTTTCAATTGTAGCCATAAGAACTTAAGCAGTTAATAAGAGGAGGATGGATGCGACACACCCAAAGAAGTTGTATTCAAATTAGCAGGCCTGAATTGATATTAGGGCTTCTTTTTTTGAGAAGATAGTAGGGCTTATTAGCTCTGCATCTTTAAGGCTTATTACTATGGGCCGATTCCTTTAGCTGAACCTATTTTGGGTCTATTTAATGCCCACGAGGCCTTGGACATGTTTGTGGACCAATCCCTTGGTTTGCAAGGAACGTTGGAATTCTCTCCATTTCTCGGCCCATAACTGAAAATCTTGTTTACTCAGCGAAATTGGGCTAAAGGCCTGCCCGAGCAACTGAACTGCATCTTTTCTTTTTCTTTTTAGAAAAACCAAGCCGCATTTTATTTATTTACCTTAGTCTATAACTAATTTACAACTCGTGATCAAAATTTTTTTAAACATAATTAAAAATTGTACAAAATATGGATAATTATTTATTATTATTATAAAATGGATTAATATTAAAATCTTTATACTTAACTTCTTGTCCAATATTAACTTAAAATTATGTTATGTGAAAATTAATATTAACTTAAAATTTTCTTAACGTTGCCTAATTAATTTAATTGATGAAAAATTAACTTGTTTGATAAAAAAATTATGAGTGCGTAACTGAAAAAATAAAAAAGCTATATAATTCAAGTTTAAAATCAAATCATATATATGAATTGATAACCTAGTTAATTAAATTTATTATTTAAAAAAAAATTGAGATTGCAATTAAAAATAAAAATAGATAAAATTAAAAGACAAAAATGAAAAAGAGGAAAAAAAAACTGAGAGAAGCAGGTTTAAAGTTCATAAAAACAGTACAGTAAAGTAAGTGCATTAAACCCTAGATATTTTAGCATGTTTGGGTAATAAGAATATTTTAATTTAAATGTGCTAATCAACTAAAACGAAGAAAATAGACAATATTTTTATTATCCTAATGCTTGAAGAAAACAAACTCAACCCAGTATTCAAATTTAAGTTAAAAAAAAAACCTTGTCACCAAGTACGTAAATCCCTTATCTCGAAACAGAAACAGAAACAGAAACAAAAAAAAAAAATCCCTTATCTAATATTCTTGTTTTATTTTTGTTGCGGCGAAGAGTAGATGAGAAGTTTTCTTTACTGTCAAAGTTCTCCCGTGAACATACATTTCCATTTCTATAAGCATAATTAAAATGAGCTCAATATTAGGTAATCATCAGCAAGAATTCGAAGGCCTTTTTTTTTTCGAAGACGATAAATTCTTGGCTGCTGAGAATCCTGCGCTGATAACGTGAATTTGGTTTCAGAAGCACGCCACTCCCAGGTATCAATCTCCCATGGGTAGAAAATATCATTGTTTGCTTAGACAACAATATCACTCCCAGGTATCAATCTCCCATGTGTAGAAAATATCATTGTTTGCTTAGACAAAGATGACAATTGATACTCTAAGCATTACTTTTTCTAGCAGCACTCTTTTCAAACGTGCGACAGTTGAGTTCACATGCGAAGAATACTATGAATTGAAGTCATTTGCTTAAAGAAATCTTCTGTAATGGATCCGTGAAATGCTGGGTCTCATCATGTGCTGTTTGCTAGTGACTTAACCTGGGCATATTCAAATGTTTAGTGCAACAATTGTGAGCTCAGTCGCTTGTTACACGGAAGATAGGATAGCGACTTCTATTCACATGATCTCACTGTTAAATCCATGACTTTATTCTTTATATGGTCCTCTTTCAATTTTATCTTCTTCTTTTGATTTTCTCCCCTCTTTTACAGGTTCCTCAATTACCGCCACAAAAAGTTCTCAGTAACTTGTAAGAACATGATTGATAGCATATCATGAACATTATAAAAATAAAATAAAACCACGAATCCAAAAGATAAATAGATGATAAAAACAATACTAACGTAGGCGGAACCCAAAAAGTTCTCAGTAACTTGCAAGAACATGATTGATAGCATATTATGAACATTATAAAAATAAAATAAAATCACGAATCCAAAAGATAAATAGGTGATAAAAACAATACTAACGTAGGCGGAATTACTCTTTACATTAGTACACGAAATGCTAACTTGACAAGAGTTCTTTTGTTCATAGTAATTTGACAACTCTGCAATCTTCTCAACTAGTGACAAATCAAAGAAGCTTGTAATCATGCATCACTGGTGTTGCTGATTTTAAAACTTCTATTTTGTGTTTTTTCCTTTCCTTTTGCATCATGATGCCCTGATAATGAAGAATGATTGTCTTAACCCCAGTGGGATTTCCCAGGAAATGAATTTCATGAAATACTCCTAGTTATGTGGAGACCATACTGTTTGACAGAGGATAAATAAAACGAAACTAAATTGACAGAGAGACCATACTGGTCGACGGGTGATAAATAAAACGAAACTAAATTGACAGAAATCTTGCTAGATATAGAAGATTATAGGAACAATTCCCGCAAACTTAATATCAATTTGATTTTTATACATGTGAAATAATTAGAAATCTCTTAAGACATGTAAGTGGGGTGATATATGGTATATTAGTCATTAGGCAGGCACCAAAAGTATCGTTATCCTCGGCCCTGCTTAGCTTTTTCTATATATCTTGTTGTATCCGCTTATTAGTGATTGATCAATTGTCTTATTTTCTCGTGTACATTAATAAAATGATGATGATCTGACATTTTACACTCGTAAATAAAAGTATCTCTACCTTTTGAAAATCTAATTCGTGTGATGACTTTTCTACCTTTTTTCCCCCTTGTATAAATACACACCTTATACTT